AGGAGGCAGGGCATGGGATGGGGCTGGGGGAGCTCAGGGCAAGAGGGTGGGGGATGTGGGGGTACAGGAGTCAGGAAAGAGGGGTGGGAGGAGATGGGGCTGGAGAGTGAGCGGGCTCAGAGCAGGGCATGGGTGAGGTATGTGGGGTACAAAAGGAGCCAGGGCAGAGGACGGGCGTTGAAGGAATGCGCTACCGGTAGCAGTTTCTTATTTGTACGATCATAAGGAAATGCACCTGCAGGAAACTGCTAGCAGAAGGAGCAGAATCCTTCAGGGAGCAGTTCCAAACGGTACTGTGTCTCGAACTGCTCCCTGTAGGAATGTGCTACTGGTATCACTTTCTGATTTACAGGCTAAGGAACTGCTCCTATAAGAAATTGCTACTGGAAGCAGCACAGTCCTACAGGGAGCTGTTACATAGTCTACAGTGTAAGAAACTGCCACTGTAAAACACTAATACCAGATCTAGCACATTTCTATAGACCCAGTGATTGTTGTCATGCTTCAGACTTCTCTCCCAGTGCTCCAGTTGGGGATTAATCAGCACAGAGTACAGCACACAAATGACTTCTAGTGTCTTGCTTGCAACACTGAGCTTTGCTTTTTTTTATAGGATTTTTACACTGTTGACTGGTATTTAGCTCGTGGTCCAGTGCACTTGCAACCCCCTCCCAATGTGTTATCATTCGCAGCCTTTGTAAAGTGCACTCTCCAAGCAGTGGTGAGTGGTGAGGGGGTCCTGGAGAGCTGAGCAAGGTCTGGGGTAACCCCCGCACCTGTGTCACTCCTCACCTGCTCTGCCTTTGCCCTTTCCTTAGCACGGCCGTTCTCAGCTCATTTCAGTCCTCAGACCACCAGGCCAATCAAAATTTTTTCGTGGACCATCTCCTTTTTGAGACATGATAAAGAAGAGCAGACAACGAACATTTTGATTTGAAATGTATTTCTTACTAACAGATTTTTGGATTCTCTTCTCACAGACAAGCTTTTCAATGTTTGGAGTGGTATTTGATAATGTACAACGGATATTGCTTTCCACTGCAAGCCGATTCCTCTGTTTGGACTTAATGTGCAACAAACATGAAAATCCAGTCTCACACATATAAGTTGATGCGAATAGCCAAAAATCTGACTGCATGTGCTGACAGATTCGGGTAACACCCGGTCATGCTGGCCCAAAATTTCTCTATGGAAGACTGCTGGTACACGTCTTGAGCCGCAAAATCATTTTTCAGATCCAAGAATTTTCCCTGCAGATCCTCTGAAACACTATTAACATCTGTTGTAAATGGATTCCTGATGAAAAATAATCCATCCCTTTGGAAAGTATCGCTGGAATCCGTCTTGTAGCTTCCGTAAGCGATTGAGAATTTGCGTCCGAATGACTTCCATTTCCCCGAGCATGGCATCCCCATATGGAAATCGAACCAAATTATTGCCTTCGACTTTTACGATCCAAAGTTCCAATTTGTCAAGAAAAGCCTTGATGATGCTTTGGTGAGAGAACAGATTTGCACCTTTCCCTTGCAGCTGAAGATTCAGTTTGTTCAAGATTCCAAAAATATCGACAAGATACGCAAATTCTAAATTTGACTGTGTGACGTAGTGGGGGTACCTGGCTGGTTTCTATGCTGCTGGCTCTGGGGTAACCCCCACTGGCTGCCGTGG